CAGAAAGTCGAGAATGCCTGGATTTCAAATATCTTAATAGACTATAGAGGAGATATGTTTGGTGAAGGAAATCCTTTCCAGAATCCTCCAAATCATAATGTAAATGGTTGTCTACTAATTCTCAGCCCTTAAATCTAGTCCTAGTAACCCCTGATAAACTGACCCATACAAGATGGGAATGCCTACCATGAGATGCTGAGATGGGATATGACAGTGCCAACAAAGGCTGCTGCTGTAATGTGATCTCTCCAGATGGGTTCTTTCATCTTAGCTAAAAAGGTCAGTCCTATGATCTCATTCTTCTTTTGCAAACACTGCAATGGTTGACTTTATTATAGGGATTAAGATCTATGATCTAGGTGATGTAATGGCAACAATCCTTTCCTAACTCTATATTGAATCAATGACTGCTATTTGCTTTGATATAGTTAAATGTGAGGGGGTAGTTTATAGAACCCTGAATTTCAACAACGATAATTGTTATATTTACAGTGCAGCTGTTGAACTGTTAATCCTTCTTTATTATGGTTTTATAGAATTGAATGATACTAAATGACTCTGAGTACAGCAGGCATGACTTTTCATTTGTCTGTGCTATATTAAAGATTATGTATTTTTAAATCTTGATAACACTCAACCTTTGAATTACAAACTAGATAGTTTCAAGAAAAATCAAGAAACTTTAAAATATAGTAAATAATATAACCCACAGGTAATTTGTGTCAATTTTTAAAATATTTCTTTCAGAACCTTTATAATCCCTTAATGATAAGTGATACCTGCACATGAATGCTGCCTTTGAAAGGGGTTCAGTGTCATTTAAAAGACAACAGCATGAATGTTTTTCTTCCCTTACTAAATTTAAATCAACATACTCTCAAAGCTGAGAGGATGAAGTGAAGAATAGTGGGTGGGTGAGGGGAATTAAAAATAAGTGCTCTAAAAATCCAATGGTGCCTGAAAGGATTTAAGACAAAAATGTGAGAGCACATGAGGTAGTAGGTTTACGTTGTGCCAAAGGAAATAATAAGACTGCATATTTGTTATTTCAGGAAACACAGCACAATAGCAGGATTACTTGTATCATCCATGTTGAAGTCACAGGCCTTCCCCACTCACCACTGCCTACCACACCTACAACTCTCTTCTAAAAAAGCCAGGGAAGCCGGATGTCTTTGTGGGGTATTGGGCAGAACTGCCCTGCATAGGAACTCCACATGGGATGGTGAGAAATTGATCAATTTGATCCTCTGTCTTAATAATAAATATGGATTTTGAGAGATACACATAAATGGAAGTTACACTCCAATATTTTCTGAGATATATGCGGTGTTCCATGAGCTCTGAGGTGTAGCCAAGTCTTTGAGACCGAGAGTGACTGCATTAGTCCATTTTCATGCTGCTGGTAAAGATATACCCAAGACTGAGAAGAAAAAGAGGTTTAATTGGACTTACAGTTCCACATGGCTGGGGAGGCCTCAGAATCATGGTGGGAGGCAAAAGGCCATTCTTACATGGTGGCGGCAAGAAAAAATGAGAGAGAAGCAAACGTGGAAACCCCTGATAAACCCATCAGATCTAGTGAGATTTATTCACTATCACGAGAATGGCCTGGGAAAGGCCAGTACCCATGATTCAATTACCTCCTCCTTGGGTCGCTCCCACAACACGTGGGAGTTCTGGGAGATACAATTCAAGCTGAGATTTGGTGAGGACGCAGCCAAACCATATCAGTGGCTGTCTAGCCAGAAGGGAGATGGATGACTTGAGACTTAATATGCTCCTGAATTTTAGTGAGACATCCTTGCACTGAAAGTACTGGCCATGTCTCTTGTAATCCTGAAAAGCCATTTTATACATCAGACGCTGGGCCTCCACTTCTGGGTCTCTATCTTGTGTTACATGTTTCTTTCCATGCCAGAGAGAGGAAGGTGCAGAGGGAACAAAGAGAACAAACTTCGGAGTTCTCAAGACTTAGATTCAGATTGACTCTTCCTGCTGAGCTGAGTGTCAGCCACTGTCAGATCATTTAGTTTAGATAATGAGTTCCTAAGAGGGTTAGAGTTCCTAAGAGGGTTTAGAGTTCCTAAGAGGGTTCAATAAAATCATAATGTATCAAGTACACCAATATAATCTGGATATTTGTCCCCACCCAAATCTCATGTTGAAATGTAATCCCCAGTGCAGGAGCCTGGGCCTGGTGGGAGGTGTTGAGTCATGGGGGCAGGTGCCTCATGGCTTGGTGCTGTCCTTGTGATAGTGAGTGAGCTTTTGTGAGATCTGGTCATGTAAAAGTGTATGGCACCCCTCACCCCCACTCTCTCTCCCTTGCTCCCGCTCTTGCTATGTGATGTGTCTGCTCCTGCATTGTCTTCTGCCATGAGTAAAAGCTCCCTGAGGCCTCCCAGAAACTGAGCAGATGCTGGCACCTTGCTTCCTGTGCAGCCTGCAGAACTGTGAGCCAATTAAATATCTTTTCTTTGTAAATTACCTAGTCTCAGATATTTCTTTATAGCAAACAAAGCAAGAGCGGACTAATACACATACTAAGATTTTGAAAGTAGTTAATGGCTTTACAAATGTTATTGATTATGTTTCATGTCTTACATAATCAAGTATCTCTAATACTGTCTTTTATATATTTTTGTCTCCCCTGTGTGGCCAGTAAGATGTAGGAGCCCCAGAGAGTGTTTAATATGTGTTTGTTGCACTTATGATCATCTTGAAGTCAAGACTCCTGTGGTTCATTTAGCAGTGGGGCCATATTCAAAGAATAGTTCAAACAGGAATTCAGATCATATACAAATCGAATGCAGAACTTGAAGACAGGTTTTACTAAGATTTCCTTTTTCTCATATTCTGTAGCATCTGACAACTCCTGAGGCCTGTCACTCTCTTTCCACAGAAGGACCCTCTCTCACTATCCCTGGCCCACCCCCCGTCTCTCTCCAGCCCACTCCTCATCCAGCTCTAACCGACTTCTGCCAGCTGTGCCCTGGGCTCTCATAGTCTGCAGGTGTGGGATCCTTCTTCACTCAATGCCTCCTGGGAAGAGAAGCCCCTCTTTACCCTTACTGCCAGTTTCACCATTCTTCAGTGCCTTTTCCTCATTCTGCCTCCCAAGAACCTTAATCTTGTTCAGAAGGAGAAGAGGAGAAGGAACTAAACAGTTTGCAGAATCAGAACCTGATTTATCTGGCAGGGAAAAGGGTTGGGAAAACTTACCTGTATGTTTGTCATTTTTATCTTATCCCATAGAATGACTGGATGCAGAATAATAAAGCCAGCAAGTATGTATTGTGTTCCTATTGGGAAGCTGGTTCTAGGAATGAGCTGAAAGGAGTAAACTACAGCCCTGCCCTTAAAGACCTTGTGCTGGGGAATTTTCACAGTGCTTAGCACATGAGGCTGGGCTACTCCAGAAACCCTTGTAGATGCTGGAGAGAGTGAAGGATACTGTAGCACTTTAAAAATATTGCAAAATAATTTACTTAAAATGAATTCTCCTTTTTAAGTGTATAGTTCAATGAGTTCTGGCAAATGTATTGTCATCTAACCATCATTAAACTCAAGATACAGAAATATCCATCCCCCCCAAGAGTTCCTCTGTACTCCTTTTCAGTCATTCCCTTTCACTACCACCAACTTCTGCCAACCACTAGTCTATTTTCTACCCTTATAGCACTATCTTTTCTAGACTGCTATATAGATGGAATGTGGAATATGTATACTTTTGCATACATGTATTAGTACTTCATTCTTTTTATTGCTGAGGAATATTCCATTGTACATATATAGCATTATTTGGTTATCTCTTCTCCAGTTGAGTATTTGGGTTGTTTCCAGTTTTTGACTACTCAATATAGCTGCTATGAACGTTCATGTAGAGGCCTCTGTGTAAACATAGGTATTTGTTTCTTTTGTGTAAATACCTAGGATTTGGCTTGGTGTGTTGTATGGTAGGTGCATTATTACTTTTACTAGAAGCTGCCATACTGTTTTCCAATGTGACTGTATGAGGGTCTAGTTGCTCCACAGCCTTGCCAGAACTTGTGTTGTCAATCATTTTGATTTGTATTGTATTGGTATGTAGAGGTACCTTGCAGTTTCAGTTTGCATTTCCCTGATCCATAATGATTTTGAGCATCTTTTCACATGCTTGCTGGCCTTTTGTATATCTTCTCTGATGAGGTGTCCAGATTTTTGCCCATTTTTCACTAGGTTGTTTGTCTTAATATGAGTTGCATTTTTATTATTGAGTCATTATTATTGGGTAAAGAGTTTTAAAAAATATATTCTAGATATAAGTTCTTTCTGTGTTTGGAAATATTTTTACCTAGTCTATGGGTGATTTGTCTTTTCATTTTCTTAAGAGTGTTTTTCAAATAGTAGCAGTGTCTAATTTTGATGATGACCAGTTTAACAATTTTCTTCTTTTGTAGTTTGTGCTTTTTATAGTTTGGGAGAAATCTTTGCCTAACACAAGGTCAATGTGTTATGGGTTGAATTGTATTCCCCCTGCCCCCCAATTAACATGTTGAAGCTCTAACCCCCAATAAGCCCTGAGGTAAGGTAAGGTAAGCCCTACCTTAGAATGTGACCTTGTTTGGAAATAGGGTCTTCACAGAGATGATCAAGTTAAAATGAGATTATTGGGGGTGGGTTCTAATCCAATAGGACTGGTGTCCTTATGTAATGGGTATATCTGAGGACAGATACACACACAGGGAGAATGCCATGTAAACATAAAAGCAGAGTTGGGGGGATAATTTACAAGCTGAGGAATGCCAAAAGTGCCAGGGAGTACTAGAGGAGGAGAGAACCATGGAACAGATTCTCTCTCACAGTGCTCAGAGGGAACAGCCCTGCGGACACTTTGACCTTAGACTTCCAGCCCCCAGAACTGTGAGATAATACATTTCTGTGGCTTCAGTCCTCAGTTTGTGGTACTTAGTTCTAGCAGGCTTAGCAAATAGTCACTAAACCACTAAGATTTTCTCCTATTTTTTTTTTTTTTTTTTTGCTAGAAGTTCTATGGTACTTTTATAAGGTCAATCTGGAAGAGGTATGAAAAAGTTCCTGAGATCAAAATGATTTCAGAGGGTCTTTAAAGAACTAGGTGATACTTGTAGCAATAAAGCTTTTGTTGGAATAAAGATTATGCCTTGTTCCTGGCAAGTAGAGAGAGGAGGATTTCATCTTTGTGTACACAAATTTGATTAGACTAAAAACTCATAAAAGTTTGGCATCTGTCTCACTGTAACTAAATGAATTAGAAATATATTTTTTTGGACCAAAAGCTACAGTTTGCTGAACCATCATTCTTTTGTTTTATTTTAAAGGAATTTGATGCTGCTAGGTAGTACCCAAATAGAAGGTTTTGGAATTAAGGAGCAAAAGTCCTGAGCTGGGTATTTAGTAACTATGATAGGTAAAGAGGCTTGCATTAGGCTTTTAGCAGAGGGCATTGACTGACTGGTGTCTCAGCAGTGTTGGTACCATCCTCTATTTAACTGACCTTGAAAACAGAAAATTCAACTAGATTTTATGGAGGGCTTATATATACTCAAGTGCTGTCAGGGTAGATAGAAGTCTATGAGATGAAGACCCAATGCTTAAGAAATCTATAGCACATTAGATTCTAGCTACTCCTATATACTGAAGTAATTCTGCATTTCTCATGCCTTTTTATGACAGTTCTGGGGGATCAGTCCCATGCTGTAATGCTCAATAAAGAATTATAAGCATGCTAGATGGCAGAGAATGCCAACAAAGGCTTGCTGCAGTATTCCACAAAAAAGTATGGTAAGTGGATGAGAATGATGATACCCCATTTCTATGAATCAAATAGAAGGGGAGTATTATAATTGTTTTGCAAGTGAGGAGACTGAGTCAGAGAGAGGCTAGAAGGATCTGCCTAGACATACTAGTAATAAGTATTTAGTAAAGGCTTTCAGCTGCAGCTTTTTTTCTTCTTAAGATTCTGGTCATGAGTATCTTCTTTTCTATTACAAAATTTTGGTTCATCAGGCTGTGTGGAAGATTACTGTTCAGCAAATTTCCAGTCCTTCCCTTGCCTCAACCTCTGTGGGTACCTTCTCTCCTTGGTGCGTGTGCTTGACTTTGGGCTTAGCCACCTGGATTGCTTTAGCCAATAGGATGACCACAGATGTGAGCAGAGGCTTGGAATGTGCTTGCATATTTAGGTGTGGTCTCTTGAGCTCCTGTCTTTCACTATGAACAGAATATGCTGTGAGTATTGCTAATTTAAGAAAGACAAGAGACATGTGGAAAGGCCTGGGCCCAGCCATGGAGCTAGGAGTCAGGCTCAGCCAAGCGTAGCCCAGGTTAGCAAAACCCACAGGTGAGTAAATGAGTGAGTAACAGATGGTTGCAAACCACTGAAATGTCTAGGTTGTTTTGTTAAATACCCTTGTTTTGGTCATACTAAATTAATACATACTTTTGCAAAGGTGCAACATAGTTATGGGTGGCGTATTGCAGCACACAAGGCTCATGTACGACATACACTGGAAACAGAATGAGAATGGAGGAGCCTTGATGGAATGAATGGCTTGAAGAAATGGCACAGGACTGGAAATCAGAAGACCTGGGCTGTCGTGAGGTTTCGACCTTCTATTCTTATGAAGTGTTGACTCTGTGTCAGGTGTGTTTCTAGCAGTTTTAACTTATCCAATTCTCACAACAATTGTTTGAGGTAAATGCATTACTATTCCCACTTTTAGGCTGAGGAAATTGAGGCACAGAAGGATTAAGAAACTAACCAAGATCTCATAGTGAGTAAGTAGCTGAACTGAGCTTGGTACCAGACAGTGTCATGGATGCCTCATGTGACACCCAGATTTCCTATTCAGAACTGAAGTGCTCACTCCCTCAGCCTCTGGGAGAGCTGGCTCCTGGTGGCTGTCAGATGTGTCGCTCTCTGGGCATTGTTCTTGACCAAAGGGAGCTGCCTTGCCCAGAGTTAGATCCTTTATTGGGGTTTGCCCATAACCAATATCTGGTCAATGTATGGACTAATGGCCTGATCAAAACCCTTTGCAACTTGAAGTCCCTTTCCAACTCAAGGGCTCTCTGCAAGATCAAATTTGTCCTGTGTAGCTCCTTCATCACCTCTGCCCAACCCGGCTTCTCTCATTTTCTTACAGGTATTGGTTTTGAAAATGCTCCCAAGGAAAGCTGCATACAAATATCCACCTCAGAGTCTAATTCCAAGGAACCCAGTCCAGATGGCTGCCTTCCAGAGTCTGGGTTCTCTGCCGCTGTTTGATACTGTAAGTCACCACTCTGAGTTGCTCTGAGATTATAGGGAAACAAGTCAAACTCAGTGTTACTTAGACTGTCACTCAACAATCATGATGTGTAGGTTTTTCTCCACACATTAAGCAAGCAATCAATTCTGCAGGGGACACTAGCTGGGGGTCCTCTAAATCAATTCACTTTGACACTATCTACCTGGAGATAGCATCAGATCCCACTGGTTGAGGGCTCAGTCTGCAAGACTGCCCCCGTCACTGATGCTGACTGCAAGCCCCAGGTTGTTTTACCTGTGCTTCTGATCGACCAGCTATAAATCAGGGTTTCCACAACCCCCTCCTCAGGTTCGATTAATGTGCTAGAGCAGCTCATATAACTGAGGGATATGCACATTTACCTTTACTGGTTTATTATAAAGGATATTACAAGGGATAAAGATGAGTGCCAGATGAAGAGATGGATAGGGAAAGGTGTAGGGGAAGGAAGAAGAATAGAGCTTTCATGCCTTCTCCGTGTGCACCACCCTCCAGGAGCCTTGGCTATGTGGAAGCTCATCTGAACTGTCTTTTTGGGTTTTTGTGGAGGCTTCAGTATGTAGACATAATTGATTAAACCATTGGCTATTGGTGATCAACTTAACCTTCAGTCCCTCTCCCCTCCCTTACAGTTTGGGGGGTGAAGTTGAAAGTCTCAACCCTCTAGTCATGATTTGGTCTTTCTGGTGGCCAGCCCCCATCCTGAAACTATGTAGGGATGGCCAGTCACCAGTCATCTCATTAGCATATAAAAAGCACTTTTACCACTTCGGAGAGTCCAAGGATTTAAAGAGTTACATGCCAGGAAACCTGGACAAAGGCTAATATATTTTACAATATTACAGCTTCATTATTAAGTGGGGAGAATAATACTGCCTTATTTAGAGGATTAAGAGTGGTAGCATTTTTCATTCATTTTCACTCAGCCCCACCCTTTCCCATTCCACTGAGGCTGTTTCCATGGAGGTCATCAATGACTTTGAATGGCAAAACCATCAATGACTTTGAATGGCCTATCTGCATTGGATGCTACCATCACTTTCTCCCATCTGTTCTTGGGAAATTTTATAATTGTTTCCCACAGGATTCCAACTCTCCTTTTATTCAACTAACATCTACATATTTGTAGCTCCCTACCCCAACTTCTTTCCCAAGCTGGGTATTTTATAAGCAGCTGAGTATACAATGTCATTTGATGTCTCCCAAGTTATTTAAACAGCATTTCCAAAACTAAAATCATTGTTTTCTTCACCATTTTCTCTGCTCCTTCTTCTATATTTTTCTTTCATTAATGATACCATCTTTCTTTTCTTTTCTTTTTCTTTTTCTTTCTTTTTTTTTTTGAGGCAGGGTCTTGCTGTGTTGCCCATGCTGGAGTGGAGTAACCTTGGTTCACTGCAACCTTCGCCACCTGGTCTCAAGTGATTCACTTCAGCCTCCCGAGTAGCTGGGACCATAGGTGCATGCCGCCACACCTGGCTAATTTTTGTATTTTTTTGTGGAGACCAGGTTTCACCATGTTTCCTAGATTGGTCTTGAACTCTTGGGCTCAAGTGATCCTCCTGCCTCAGCCTTCCAAAGTGCCGGGATTACAGACGTGAGCAACCATGCCTGGCCTGACACCATCTTTCTAGGTCATGATACAAATACAAGGATATCTTTCTTGAATGCTCTTTCCTCATCCTCATACTAAAGCAATAAGTCTTGCCACTTTTATCCATGTCCCCAAAACTTCTCCAATATGTCCATCTTCTCTGTTCCTCCTATGATTGTCCTGCTCGAAGCCCTCATCATACCTTATCTGAACTAGGTCAATAGCCTCCCTAATGATTTTCTTGCACCCAACCTTGCTTTCTCAAAGCCATCCTTCAAAGCATAGCCTAAGTGGTCTATCTAAAAGGAAAATCTGATTGTGCCAGTTCCCCATTGTCTATAGGGTAATGTCCAATCTTTTTTTTTTTTTTTTTTTTTGAGACAGAGTTTCACTCTTGTCGCCCAGGCTGGAGTGCAATGGTGTGATCTCGGCTCACCGTAACCTCCAGCTCCCGGGTTCAAGTGATTCTCCTGCTTCAGCCTCCCAAGTAGCTGGGATTACAGGCATGTGCCGCCACGTCCAGCTAATTTTGTACTTTTAGTAGAGACGGGCTTTCTCTGTGTTGGTCAGGCTGGTCTCGAACTCCTGACCTCAGGTGATCTGCCCACTTTGGCCTCCCAAAGTGCTGGGATTACAGGCATGAGCCACTGTGCCCAGCCCCAGTCTTATAATAGAAAGCTCTGTATGATCTGGCCATATAGTACGGTGGCTCAGATGTAGGTTTTAGAGTCAGTCAGATTGGATTAGGGCCTATTCTAATTGCAATTGTGTCATTTTAAGAGACTCTTGGCTCTACTGCTCATTAGTTGTGTGGCTTTGGGCAAAATACTTAACTTTTCTGACAGAATGAGAATGTAATAAAGATTTCTACCTGTGATAGTTAATCACCAAATACCCACACACTTCCCTAGATTTCTCAACCTTTCCTGAAGTTAAGTCAGGGTCATGTGGCTATTTCTGGCCAATTGACTAGAAGTGGAGCTGATGTGAGCCCTGTGACCTTCCACCGTCTTTCTCTTTTCTTGCTGTGACCACCTTGGAGATATTCAGGATGGCACAGCTGGTTGAGGTAGGCAGACTGCCTGACCCTCATTGAACTTAATGGGTTATTTTTCAGTTTCATTATTGTATTAAGCCCCTGAAATTTCAGAGTTTTTCTATTTAGGCAGCATTAATAACCATGACAAACTACCCCACTGAGTTGTTAGAATGGATCAGCTGAGATAATGCATGAAAACATGTAGCACCCTGCTCAGTACAAATCTTCTTATCCTGTCTTGAGTTCCACATGCCTGCATTTCTGAGTTACTTTATACACCATTCTTTCTCAAACCTTCATGCTGTTCCTTGTGCCTGAAATGCTCTTCTGTGACTCACACAATCTTCAAAAACTTGGCTAAGGTAGCACCTTTCCTGGCCTCCTCCACCTCAGTTAAATGTTCCTGACTTTAGTCTCATAGCAGAGTATTTATCCCTTCACCAATGTATGTATGCTCAACAACATTTACCCACCCATGTCTGGACAGATGGCGAGCATCTGAAGGGGAAGAGTCTTTTATAAATGTTGTCCCTCTGCCTAAAATGCTTTCTGTACTTGTACCTGCCTGGAAGACTCCTTGCACATTTTATGCCCAGCTCACCAATTCCTCACCTGGAAAAGGCTTTTCATCCCTCTGGCAGAGTTGTTCTCTCTTTACCAATTCTTTACCTTGTGGGTTGTATTAGTCTGTTCTTGTACTACTATATAGAAATACCTGAGACTGAGTAATTTATAAAGAAAAGAGGTTTCATGGGCTCACAGTTCTGCAGGCTGTACAGAAAGCATAGCACCTTCTGCTTCTTGAAAGGCCTCAGGAAACTTACAATCATGGTGGAAGGCAAAGGGGAAGCAGGTACGTCTTACATGACTGGAGCAGGAGCGAGAGAGAGCGGGGAGGTGCCACTTTTAAACACCCGGATCTCACAAAACCTCAACAGCACCAAAGGGGATGGTGTTAAACCATGATCCAATCACCTCCCACCAGGCTCCGCCTCCAACATTTGGGATTACAATTCAACATGAGATTTGGGTGGGGACACAGTCCAAACCATATCTTGTGTGGCTCTACTATGCCATCCATCACCCCAAATTACAATTCCTCCTTCAACTGTCAGGGTCAGTCCCTGGACTGTGAGCTCCCTGAGGACACACAGTGCTACATCAAGTTACTTGGAGCCCTAGAACAGTTTCCATATCAGGGGATCATCAAATGCTTGCTGAATAAATTGCCACCCTCTTTGGACTTTGAAAAATGAAGTGTCCTTTTCTCAAAAATATGTAGGAGAATAACATTTATACCCTGTATTAGTTTTTTTAGAGCTGCCATAACAAAATGCCACAGAATAGATGGCTTAAACAACAGAATGGATTTTCTTATAGTTCTGGAGGCTGAAAGTCCAAGATCGAGATGTTGGCAGGGCTGGTTTCTCCTGAGGCCTCTCTCCTTGGCTTTTAGATGGCCAGCTTTTTGCTGCATCCTCACCTGGTTTTTCCTCTGCATGCATGCATCTGATGTTTCTCTGTGTGTCCAAATTTTCTTCTCTTATAAGGGCATCAGTAAGATTGGATTAGGGCCTATTCTAATTGCAATTGTGTCATTTTAACTTAATCACTTGTTTAAAGATCTTATTGTGAATATGGTTACATTACGAGGTGCTGCAAATTAAGTCTTCAACACATGAATTTTTGGGGAACACAATTCAATCTGCAGCAACCCTCATCTGGAGAATACCCTAAATGGACTTCAACAGACCAGAGGATCTTGTTCTCATAGAAGAAAACGTATTGGAATGAGAATGAGAAGGACAGGGGAAACTAACATTTGTTGCTGATGAGATTTCCTGTCTACTCACTGTGCGCAAGGGCCTACGCGAAGTTCCATCTCAAAATGAAATACAGAAAGATAAAGGAACTTAGGATATTTGGCTAATGAGTGGTAGAGCTAGGATTTTAGGTTTAGAACCCACATAGAGTGTGCCTCCACCCTCATCTCAGTTAATTGTCCCAAATGCCTTATGAGGGCTTATTTCCAGTTTTTCTTTTTAACTGATAACAAATGAGCAAGCATTTATACATAGCACTTTACATAACAGGTACCCTCTTACAGATTTTACATATGTTAACTCATTTACTCCTCATGATCCTGCCCTGAGGCAGATACTGTTGTTCTCATCACTCCATTGACAAGTTACCAGCAAGGAGGTGGCAGAGCGGGAGTCAAGCCTGGGGAAGTCTGGCTTACAGAGTCCAGACCCTCAGCCACCACACTGATCTTCCTCTTGGGAAGATGGGTAAGTAATCTGGCCAAGGGCAATGTACTTCGAAGGGATGAGACTGGGATTTATACCTGGCCCCTCTCACTGCAGACTCCAGCCTCCCTTGATGGCTTCACACCACTGTATCTGCCTGCATGTGATCATGCTTCATCCTCACATCACATACTCGGTGATGCAAACAGGTCTCCTAGCTCTGATTTTAAGAAAAAAGACTCTGATGCTGAAGAAAAAAAGGTTTGGGGGAAATTTGCCTTTGTGCAATGTTATTGGATAAACTCTGTTTTCCCTTAGACTCATTAGCTGCATGTTTACAATTTCCAAACACAATTGTCTTAAAAAAAGTCAGACTGGTTAAATCTGGAAGGAGGCGGGTGCCTTCAGCA